CCTTGTTGTTGTTCTCGTCTGAGTAGAAGACGGAATATTCCGCATACAGAGAAAGTTTCATTGTGTTCGACCCCGTAATAAGAACTAGATTTACACTGTAGGACAAAAGTACACAATTCCGATTGAACTGCCTGTCGACTTTCGACTTTAAGTTTAGCGTTAGCTTAAGGCTAACACATATTGGGAAACAGCACAGAGATAAACTAATGAGGCATAACGGTGCAGCAACACTTGTGGACAGACGATATAACGACACTCAGTGGGCATATATTCTTTAGCATTTGCGAAAGCAGGTACTAGTACTGCAGTTACTGAGTCACATACAGTAGTTGGGAAAGTCTTGTTTCGTCTTCATCTCACATATTGAGACAAATTACTACTTTCAATGGCGAATAGTAGAGTAGTACTTGGGGTCAAGGAAGTATGTTGAAGTGGTACATCACGGCTTTTCCAAGAGCTTTGTATGTAGGGGATTTTACAGTGATAAGAGTAAGGGGCGGGGCCTCATGTACTCTGAGTAAAGCGATTTTGATCCATTCTGAAAATATACTCCCACTCTGGTGGCTGGGGAGGCGACTGTACTTCATAATGTTTAAATAAGATTCAATTCGAGGAAAAAAAAAGCTGACTGTGTAAAAATCACTCCACAAATTTTATTGTGTAGGAGTGTTTCTAGGTGTGTCAATGTGTAAGCGTGTGTTTGTGCTGTAGGTGTGCGGTCGAGTGTGTAGGTTTGTGCATGTGAGTGTATGTGTGTGTGTGTGTGTGTGTCAGTGTGAGTCAGTGTGTGTGCTTGTGTGTGTAGAGGTGAAGGGGTTGTGTCAGGAAATGAGATGTGTTGGAGAGAAGTGCTGAAGAGAATCGGTAGGCAGCGGGTAAAGAGCAACATGCAGCACGCAGGCATCGCAAGCCGATAAGAGAAGAGCCCGAATGACTGATGTGGGACAATTAGAGTGAAAGGACAAATGGGAGAATCATGAAAGAAGCCAGAATAAAAAAAAAAAAAAAAAGGGGGGGCAAGAGCGGGAGGTGGTGAAATGATCGAGCAGCAGCGGAGGCGGGAGAGAAGCTCAGATCTTAATCGTCATGATTGAAAAAGTAGCCAGAGAGAGCGCAGAGGGGAGGAAATCAAATCAGTTTGCTTCCTGTCGAGCACAGAAGCAAATGGAGGACATGTGCAGGACGCCAGATAGCGCGGCTATTCGGCTACTTGCGCCGAAGAGGCCATATTTTCATTCATGTGGGCGGGGTCTATGTGCCACACTTTTTAATATATGTTACGGTGCATAAGTCTTCTAGGACACCAGAGTCTTTCTGATACTAACACAGTATAGGACACTTTTGTGAAACGGCCTGTGAGCATCTAAGCGGCCTTCCCAACCTTTATTGAACCAAGGCATATCTTTTTAAATTAGAAAAATCCCAACACAGATCAGCAAACAAAAATTGTCACCAAGAGTTTCAAAACTGAAAATTTGACAAAATCGTCTCAATTTTTCACGCACAAATTTAAAGGGACAGTGTGTGAAAATGTGTTGATTTTTCAATGTTCATTATTTCCAAAACCCACTTTTGACCCTTTCAGGGACAGCGGTTACAACAGTGGACAGCTTATCATGTTATCAGTTAACAGGGCGCATGAAAGGGTTCATTTCAATAGTATGCAAAAAAAGATGTTCTATCATCCATCCATCCATTATCTGATCTGCTTATCCTGATGAGGGTCGTGGGCGTGCTGGAGCCTATCCCAGCTATCTTTAGGGAGGAGGCAGGTTGAACTGCTTGCCATCCAATCGCAGGATGTTCACATCGATGTAACTTTAAAAAAAATGTAAATGGAGGTGAAGTAATCGCAAATTATATTACATAAGATGTGCCTCCCCTAGAGGAGGCTACCATGTTTTGAGGCCTTCTTTCTGCTCTGGATAACTGAAGGAGACTAACGTAGCCAGCGTCATTCCTCAACATGAGGACAAAGATCCACGATCCTCACTCAACAACAGGTTTTAAGCAAACAACAAAATAACTACTGTACGTGCTGTGATATTTTTTTTCCCGCCAGTGCAAAGGATACTCTTGCATAAAACAGACACAAAACTGCTTAAGAAGAAACCAACATTAAGTGCAAGAAGCCATTTTGTCCATTTTTTTTCTCCTGAAAAATCAACTCGCTCAAAACGTGAATATTATTGCCGTATTATGTTTGTCCTGCATATAATTCTTAACATCACCAAAAAGTATTTGGCCTACCCATGTTGTAGCATTGGGCACCGGCCCCTTGTGGGCGATATTCATGCAAATAATAACCCCAGCTGCATGTTTAACGGTCAAACACGAGCTTGTACAACAGCGCTGGGACCCATCATCAATAAACTTTAATGCATGTACAGACACAAGGAGCGAATTATGCGGACGTATGGGTGTGCTTGCGCATTAACACCGAGGGAGATCAATCAACACTGGTGCACTGCATCAATAACTCGTGACAAATGCGCATTAAGGACATGAATTACACACACGCACACAGTGTCAGTGATGATTTGCTGCACCGCGATTAATGTGAGTGTGTGTGTGTGCGCGTGTGTGGGTCGCAGCATGAATTATAAAGCTTGGAAGAAGCCTTGTGGCAGAGTGATGGCAAGGAACCATATCTGACAACCAAATGGACACCACAGAAGGAGTTATAAAGCAGTCTGGTTTGTCCCGGCCAATCAGTGAAGAGAGGTCATTCTAAAAATTGCAAAGCCCATGAACGCTGTTCTTCATTGTGGCCCTTTAGGATTTGTATCGAGTCCCCTTGGTTTCTGAGTTCTGCCTTTCAACCTCAGTTTGAGCCTTCCCGTGTGGGGTTTGCATATCCTCTCTGCACTTCCTCCCATCATTCAAAAAAAGGTTTATTGAAGACTCAAAATTGTCCTTGAGGGTCATTTTGTGTCACGTGCCCTGTGATTGGCTGGTGGCCAGTACTCGGTGTCCAGACATTCACTAGGATAGCCTCCAGCTGCCATGTGAGCCCGAAAAGCAAAATGGGACGGGCAGAAAGACAATGCTCCACACCTCTTGCGTGGAAGCCAGCGTGACGAGGCGACTGCCCGCTTCCGTTGTTCCTCTTTCACAGCGGGAGCTGGAAGAGTCCCTTTTGATATTTGCCAACACTGGCCGCCTCCTCTCATGATTCACTCGCAGTCCCTCATCCACAACATCCGGCGTGTGCTGCTGCTGCTGCTTTCATCGGCGTCTCCACCCCTCACTGAGCTCCAAGCTCCCCTGTGATTGCTGTGTCCTTGCAAGTCTGTGGTGCGCACGCATAGGCGCAACGCGCGCACACACAATGACGGACATGCTCTCCTATCACACAGCTGAGTGGAGGGATGAAGCTGCTCCCTTGCGGGTTGAATAAGGTGAGAATATTTGATCACAAGGATGGACACATGCAGCGGAGTAGGTAGAGATCACAGCTGCGATGCTGGTGACATGTGGAGAACCCCCCCACTGGTCTTCAGAGATGATCATTGATTGATTTTGGTTCATTAAATAAATGAATTTCAAGAAGCGGACTTGATGGTGGTGTGACGGTGGTTAACTTGCAAGGGGTTTAGCAAGAAACTATATAGTGATTAAAATAAATTTTTTTTTTTTTTGGTCCTTTAACGCTGACGATAATGATATGATTTACAGGTAGATCTTTTGACTGTTTTAAAAATCTTTTAGGTTCTTACATGGCTTTTCTCCTGGTACTCCAGCTTGCTCCCACATTCCAAATTGCACTGAAACATCGCAGATCACAAATGAAAGCAAAGTGTGGAGAGTCACCGTCTCAGTCAATAGGGCGATCACTTACTGTATTATTTCTTGACGTATTCACACTCTCCTTATTTTTGCCCGTTGACTGTTTATTTTTTGTGGACAATCCCTTTTTCCTTGACAATCACACCATGTTTCGATGTTTGTCCAATGGTGTGAATGTGTATGTCAATGGCTGTTTTCTTTCTTATGGGATAGATTCCAACAGGGCTATAGAAAATGGATGGATGGTTGCTCCTGCAATTTTCTGGCAACCAGTCCAGTGTGTACCCCGCCTCTTGCCCAAAATCATCTGGGATAGGTTCCAGCTCACTGATGACCCTAATGAGGACAACCTCTATAGAAAATAGATGAATTGATGGATGGCTTTGGAAAAGGAGTGTGCGCGAATAGAATGTTTTTTGAGGCATTAAACCCTACTAGCCCTCACATGAAGAAATGTGAACCATGTTAATTTTAAATACATAAATAAACAAAAAATAAATGTCAATGATATTCTCTTGTTTTAATTCTACTTCGCAAGTCACAGTGTCAGTGGTGAGCTATTTTTAGAACAGAATGCGGGCTACTCATGTTGTCCTTCGGGCTAACGACTACATATTTGCACCCTGGTTTTTTTTTTTTTTGTTTGTTTTTTAGGACACTGCATATTAGTCAAATCTCTCTTTTCCCTAACTTCCCTCCATCCCACTTCCTCTTCTCTGTGTAACTGCTTACCCCTCCCCTCTCTGCTCACAAAAAAAAGTCACGACCAGTTAAAGACACTATTCCCAATTATTGAAATCTTGACTTTTTAAAATGACGGTAAAACCTCAAACTGGTCATCAGCATGTGTGACTCCAGTTTTACACCAAAGCATGGAAGTGTTTGAATGGTGATGTGTTTCATGTTTTTATTACCTTACGCTACGTTTATTTTTAGTCTAATCACCCTAATGATAACAAGCGCTATAAAAAAAAAAAAATGCATGTAAGGCACATGGCCCTAATCCTTCGTAACAACATTCTGATGTGGGTCATGTTTAATTTTATTTTTAGAATAAAAAAAAAAAAAAAAAAAAAAAAAAAAACGGGCCCCGGGCCACTCTGTGCAATGAAGTGTGCAGTGGCATACAGCTGCTAAATGTTCAACCAACATATGCCCGCCTTTGGCTCCATCTGTTGACCCATGTCCCAACCGAGGGGACTTCGACTCACCGATTTCGCAGCTCTCCCCGGAGAATCCCTGTGGGCAGTAGCAGCTATAGCCGTCGCCCTCCTGCAGGCAGCTACCTCCGTGGAGGCACGGGTTGGTCTGGCATGGGTTGCTCTCAACTGCGAACGAAGAGAGTGCATAATTCATGCCATGACAAAGAAAGAGCATTACGGGAGCGCCCGGAAATGTTGACAAACTGGGACGGTAAATGAAGCAAAAGCCTGTCTCTTTTCCGACTCTCTGCCAGATGTTTGGCACGTCACACCACTTTTTATCGCAACGGATGCTCATCAAACTCGAAGCCCTCGTAAAAGAGCTGATCACCACACATTCGTACATGCAGTATGTACTTCTTATGACAGATTACTGCTGCGTGGGCAAGGTAATAAACATCATTTATGGAGATAAGTCCAGGCCTCCGTTTTGGGAAAAAGCCTTTTAATGGACGATGACATCGTAATTATTGCACTATTGAATACGGTGCAAATAAAGAGGTGATGATTCACAATTTGATTATGGTGGACGTTTTGCAGGTTGAGCAATAATGAAGATAATAATAATTAAAAAAAAAATCCACCCATTATCGGTTTGGTATATTCTTTCAGGTGATACTTGCGCAAAAGTATCTTTGTATCATAACAGAAAATAGTATTGTAGAATGTAGAGTCACCTTGTGGAATACAGTATTACTTGAGTATTGAGGTATCTCACATTAAGTGCACTTGAGGATTGGAATTAAAAGTATTTTAGAAAAGTGAATTGTTAACAGTGTTTAACTGTAGTTTTATTCATTTCAATAGTATTTTTATTTAGTTTAGCTTAGTTTCGTAGTGAGGTTCTGTGTTGGCTAATCAGCGACATTAGCTAGCACATGTTAGCATGGCCATCATCTGAACTCTATGCCTCTAAAAATAGCATGTAAATCTGTAAGTTAACATTAGAAAAGAAAATACTGTATAAAGATGAAACATAGAGTGAGGCGGCGGAGGTGCACGTGCCAAACGTGGATTGACAGGCTTCTTGATTGACAGTCGTCAGGCCCACAGTTAGCAAACAACCATCCCATATAGACTTCGGCCAACACAATCAGCACTATTCTTCCACTTTGTATTCTGCCGTTTAGGCATTTATTCGAGACAAAATTAGATTTTATTTTGTAGTCCCTAATCATGTCATAAAGACAGTGAGGAGACTTTCAAGATTCCCACCATTACCAACATTTTCCTTGATTTAACACATGCTGGTAAATGTAAGATCCATTCGAGTAAATGCAGATCGAATTTGACCTAGAAGATATCCAGTAAAAAAAACAAAAAAGGAAAGTAAGGGGATTTTAATTGCTGTCAAATGTCAAAACGACTTAAATTTGACCCAAACAATACGGAAGAGTTAATAATAGAAGGCCTTGCAGTACACCACAGGGAGCGGAGTTCCCCTGAAAGCTTGCCTGCCATGAATGTTAATGGCAACCCACACACGACCGCATGCGCGCGCACACACAGATTTTACAGCAGATTATGTTCAATTTCCTGCAAGACGACATGCGAGACTCCCGCGACAGGCTGCCAGCCTCTCGTTCTAGTGCATACTAGAGCGCGACGTAAGTCGCACGCTGAATGGCAGAGAGCATCATCCATCACTGGAAGGTTAATGACATATGTCGAGAGAAGACAGCGTGATCCTCCGCCGAGGGGCGTAAATGTCAGGTCATGGCGCTCGGGCCTCAAATGTTTCTCCAGTCAGGAACATTTGAGGGGCCCCTTCATCCCTCAAATTAGCGAGCGGGAAGGGAAGGATGCTTTCCAAATCACAGAATCGACTCACGACCGGGAGCCTCGGGGCGGACATGCGGAAAATGTTTCATTGTCGGAGAAAGCTTAAAGACATCAAAATGCTTTTAATGCAGGTGCTTTTCTCTCCAATCCGTAGTTGCGAGCTCTTGCAGAGAAGATTAAAATTGCATGTGTGTGAAGTTAAAAAAAACAAAAAAAACAATGGGAGCCAGCTAAATTCAACCGTTTTTCTCTGAAAGTAAAACTAAACTGCTCCCCACCCATACCCGAAAAAAATAAAATCACATAAAAAAACTTCATTTAAGTTGCGACCTGCAAGCTTTCCAAGCACTTCCTGGCACAGTTATCTGCACTGCAGTGCTGTTAAAGATAAGTGGTTTATCTCAGCATGCTTGTGCGGGAAAAGCTCCACAACACGTTTTAATCACAGCACAAGTGGACACGCTATTTATCTGCATTCATCCGGCACATGCTGGAGACCTCACTTAACCACACGACACATTTAAAGCCATTAAAGCATTTGACAAGGACAAATACGATACAGGTGAGTGCTTAACGTTTGTGATCAGTGTCTCGTTTTCCCTCTAATGCTGTGAGTAGGGTTGCAAATAATGATTATTTTTAAAATTGATGAATTTGTTGATTAATTAATCAATTAAAAAAACATTTTCAATTTCCATCCATTATTTCAAAGGAAAAAAAACAAATTATGTTTCTGTGACTGGTTTGGTCTGACAGGCAAAAACAGTGATCATTGTTTTCCAAAGTAAAAGCAAATGTTTTATTTGGATTCACCACAAAGGTAATTATTGTGCTGTCATGGAGGACAAGAAAAACTGGAGAACATTTACTGTTAAGAAGTGGAGATGCCAAGGATTTGGACCATTAAAAAGAAAGCATCTAAACGATTAATTGATTATTTAAACTGGTTATCAATTATTTGTCAATAAATCGCTTAATTGCTGCATCTCTAGTTGTGAGTGCATTTACATTGCAAGGACTTCTTGTCATCTAATTCAAGTCACTTCCTGTAGTGGCGTTACAGCGCCACTTCAGGCCTGACATGTAACTACAGCTGTGGAGCATTTTCATGTGCATGCGCCTACTTTTTGAAACAATTCACTTTTGACAGGAAAGACTGTTTCCATGTGGTTGTAGCCAAGTAAAATCCCTCAACTGAAACGCTACAAAACATGAATTTTACCCTTTAGAGTAGACACTTACGAGAAGACCAAAAAGAACAAAAACAATTGCAATGATTCAGATATGCGCTGATGGTAAAACTAAATTCTACGAATTAAATTCACTGCCAGCCATTCTAGAGCATTTTGACTTTTTTAAGAGCTCATGATATTATGGTCAATGATTATATATAAACCGAATATCCAAAATGGTGCATCACTGCCATCTACTGGTGGTTGTGCATCAGTAAAGTTGTTTCCAAACTTGAAATTTACAGTGGGGCAGCATCAGACCCTCCGACCTATCCCAGTTGAGATACATTATTGACAAGTACAATACTTGGGGGAGGGGGGGGGGAGAAACTGGCCTTTCTTTGTAATCGGAGAAAACCCAAGCAAGCTAAAATGCAAACTTCACACAAGGAAGGCCTGAGTTGAGATTTGAACCCAGAACCTCAAAACTGTGAGGCCGAGTTGCTAGCCACCGACCACCACCCATCGTGCTGCTGAGTACAATAGAACCAGAAATGGAGCCAAGGGAATTTGAAAAGCATGTAAACGATCAGTACACTATGAGCAACACAATGAATTAAAAATCAATTACACACACAATGTGAAACAAATGCGATCCGTAGCGAGGGGCGACAGAACGAGTCGCGCCTTGCGCGCCATTTGCCCATGCGTCATGCGTACATTCTCAAGGGCTGTGTTCTGTATTCTGCAGCGCGCTTTTGTGTTTTTGTGGCTCGAATTAAGTGAGGAAATCGCAAGTAGAGAGATGCCAGGCAGGCGAGGGACAGTAAAGCCGTCGAGGGAGCCACGCAATCGTACATTTCTGCCTCGCTTAAAGCTTCTAGCTTATGATTAATTACACACTGCTCTTAAAATAGGACGGCCAGTCCATTGCTACTTTTCACTCTTGCTCTTTGCGGCGGGCAAGAATAGTGGGCTGGAAGCTTAAATATAAAGTGGACATATATTCCCACAACCTACGAAAACAGTGTGTTCCACAGCTCGAAAGGGGTCGCTATCCCAAGTTTCTTCTAAGCCGTTCAGTGGGGAGATTAGCGACGAGTTGGCCTGCATATGCAAGCTAATGCATGAAATCGGGATTTAGAACCGACCGTGAAAGTGGATTGCCGGAGAAGGAATGCTGAGCAATGGATGTATAAATAACGGAAAAGCAATGCGGATGTCGCATAAATGGAACACCCCACGAGTTGAACCATGTGCCGTTTGAACGACGTTGTGGGGAAAATAAAATGCCTTAAAAGTCAAGCAATACCGACCATAATTGCGATGTCAAGAAATCTATTTGTCTGTTTTTTATAGACGTCTTTCGATTGTGTTTTTAGTCTTGTGATGACAACCATGGAACAGGACATTGAAACTACATAGGAACGGGTCTGTCTGCTCAGAAAATACACTTTAACCCATTCCCGCACCCTGTAACCTGATATCATGACAAACTGTCCACTGTAGTAACCGCTGTCCCTGAAAGGGTTAATAATGATCCATTTCAGACACAAATTCATTTGAGCGAGCAGGGAAATTAAAGGAAAAAAAACCAGCAGTACAGATAAGACGCCACTAGTGGTGGTATTTTTCGGCTAACACCTTCCTCTGGTCTTCAAAGGTAAGTAGTTTTACTGTATCTTAGTCTATAAGTCAGTTTACTCCTTTTGACACGAGTAGGACACTAAAAAAATCATTAGCCTTGAATAGCACAACTGCCCAAGTCATGTAAACTTTGCAAAATATTTGATATCTGCAGATCTAAACTCAATACAAATCAAAAACGCAGATCATGACACACGTGAGGAAAAAAAATTGATATTGTTTTCAACACAATGTTCTCAGATACCATTTTCATACATACAACGTGGCCATCATCAAATCAAAACAAGGTCAAAACCTGACCGTACATGCTTTTTGGTCGTTTTGGAGTGATGTTTTTTTCTTTCTTTTTTTTTTTTTTTTTTTATGTTACTCGTGCTTATCAGGCACCATGTGGCTGTAGTCGTACTCAGTGAACCTTGTAATAGCTTTGCAGAGACTGAGATCATGACTTGGCCCATTCAAGAGTCCCCCACTCCCCCTCCCGCTTGCCTACTGTGTAGGTTAGACCCTGATAACCCGAGTCTG